AAAAGAACAACAACAACAAAAATGCATAATTAGGAGTAAAGTGACTTTCAGGCAAATAGAAGCAGAGGAGTGCGTTATAAGCTTAAATTATAATGAGAATTGCTAAAGCAAGAAAGTAATAAACGTTCAGCATACATAGGAACAAATTTAGATAACAATGAAAATGGGAGGATTCAAAGATCCAAATTCGCTTCGCAAAGGGGAAATAAGGCGCACACAGAAGAAAATGGACAACTGTATATATATATAAATGGACAACTGTATATATATATACATATATATATATATATTCATATTTGTAATGGTAACCACACACCATAGAGTCAGAACTGAAGTATATAACATAAAACAAGAAGAATCAGAGGTAAAACCCAGAAAACTCAATCAAAATAAAGAAAACGGAAACACAAGGACAAGAAAGCATTGGAAACACTGAGCTACCAGAAAGCAAAAGATAAAATAGCGATAAGACCTCATATTTCAATAATCACCTGAAATGTAAATGGACTGAACTAATCAATAAAAAGGCAGTCACAAAATGGATCAAAAAACAAATCTAATCATATGCTGCCTCCAGGAGACACATCTCAGTTCCAAAGACAAATATAGACTCAAAGTGAAAGGGTGGAAAACGATATTCAAAGCAAATGGCATTCAGAGAAAAGTGGGGGTAGCAGTACTAATATCAGACTAAATAAACTTCGAAATAAAAAAGGTAAAGAAAGATACTGAAGGACACTTCATAATGATAAAGGGAATCATGCGTCAAGAAGACATAACACTTATTACTATCTATGCTCCCAATCAGGGAGCCTCAAAATATGTAAAGCAATTATGGAACTAAAGGGAGAAACAGACCAAAACACTATCATAGTAGGGGACCTAAATACCCCACTGTCGGACATGGACAGATCATCCAAACAGGAAATAAGGAAATAACATCCTTAAACGACACATTAGACCAATTGGACATAATTGACATATACAGAGCCTTCCATCCCAGGATGGTACTCTAAAATGTACCATCAATGGAACATTTTAGAGTACCCACCAAATGACAGGCACCAGGGAACCTTCTCAGCATGATTTTAGAAGTATAAGCAGCATGTCCAAAAGCACTGAACAGTTAAAAACATAAGCTGTAGCCTGAGTCAACAGACTCAACTGTTGAGTCAGAAGACTCAACTGTTTTCATTCCAGCGTAATCTCTTGCTTTTGCGTCAAGCAAGAGATGAAACTTCTTGCTTCCTTTATCTGTAAAAAGACTTAATCATATAGAGCTGCTGAGGATTACGTATAAAAGTATCTCCTACAAGGTGAGTTCACTGAGGAACTTCATGAGTATAGCCATTTGGTGGGATGTCAACCTTACATCCTTTCATGATGCCTCAAACCACTGCCTCCTTCAAAATATGACATTTTGCAAACCTGCCAAGGACAGTACAGATAAGAACGATGATTCATAAAAATGAGTTTGGCCAGCTGACTTCATGTAATGTTAAAACATACAAATGGCCAACAGACATGTGAAAAGATGTTCAACTTCACTAGCTATTAGGGAAATGGAACTCAAAACCACAATGAGCTACCACTTCATACTTGTTAGAATGGCTATTACCAAAAGACAAAAAATAAGTGTCGGAGAGGTTGTGGGGAAAAAGGAACTCTCATATACTGCTGGTGGGACTGCAAATTGGTATAGCCACTATGGAAAACAGTATGGAGGTTCCTCAAAAAACTAAGAATTGATCTACCATAGGATCTAGCAATCCCTCTACTGGGTATTTACCCCAATGACTTGAAAACCCATATCCAAAAAGATATTTGCACACCAATGTGCATAGCAGCATTATTCCCGGTGGCCAGGACATGGAAGCAACCTAAGTGTCCTATGATAGATGATTGGCTAAAGAAGCTGTGGTACATATATACAATGGAATATTATTCAGCCATAAGAGATGAAATACTGCCATTTGTGACAACATGGATAGACATCAAGATAATCATGCTAAGTGACATAAGCAAGACAGAAAACGTTGAAAACCACATATTGTTTATATGTGGGATATGAACCTAAAAGCAACAAATATGACAAACAAACAGACACTCATGGATATGGACAATAGACTAGTGGTTACCAGAGAAGGCAGGGGAAGGGAGAGGTTGATGGGGTAAAAGGGGTCAAATACATGGTGACAGAAAGAAACTCAACCATGGGTGGTGAACACACAATACAAAATATAAATGACTGTTGAACTGTACACTTGAAACTTGCCAGATTTTGTTAAACAATGTCACTATAATGGTTAAAAAAAAATGAAGAATTATTATATGACCCAGCAATCTCTCCTCTACCCAAACAATTTGAAAACATTCATTTGTAAAATTTTATGTACCACTAAGTTCATTGCAGCATTATTCAAGGTGGCCGAGTCATGGAAACAAGTGAAGTATTTCTTTGATAGATGACTGGATAAAGATGTGCTACATATATACAATACTTCTCAGCCATAAAATAAAATAGAGCCATTTGCGACAACATGGATGGATCTTAAGAATATCATGCCAAGCAAAATAAGTCAGCTGGAAAAACTCAAGAACCATAGGATTTCACTTACATAGGGGATAAAAAATTGAAAGCAATAAATAAACAAGCCAAACAAATAAAAACTCATAGACACAGACAATATTTTAGTGATTACCAGAAAGAAGAGGGGAGGGGAAGAGGTAGATAAGGGTAAAGGGGGTTAAATATATAGTGATGGAAAGAAATTTAACTTTGGGTGGTAAACACACATTGCAATATATATGATTATACACTTAAAACCTATATAATTTTATTAACCGTTGTCACCCCAAGAAATTTAACTTTGGGTGGTAAACACATATTGCAATATATATTATTATACACTTAAAACCTATATAATTTTATTAACTGTTGTCACCCCAATCAATTTAACACAATAAAAAAATTTTAATGCTATTTAACCGTTCAATTAGATATAATTTTCTATGGATACTTTAGCAGTGAATGTTGACTCTAAGTTAATGTTTCAGAGATTATTATAGTAGTATGTCCATACGAGATATCAGATTATGATGGTTTTATAAGATTATGACTGCTAGGACTGAAATAATTTTTGAATAAAATGAAATTCATTATACTATTATTTCTTTGATTTCAAGTACTTACCATCATGAATTTCCATGAATGTAGTATTAAAGCTTTTATCTTAATTAAAAATGCCAGATAAACAAGTATTACTTAGTCTATTATTTATTTAAGAAAAAGTTTTACATATTAGAGATAAAGTGATAAAAAGTTAATCTAGAACCTAACCCTTTCCGACCATCTATTTTTGATCTTATAGTAGCCATGAGAACAAGCCTTTAGAAGTAATTACACTTGAGAGTTGTAACAGGGAGAAAGGCTCTGGTCTTTCATTACCTCACTCTGAATGGTATGCCCTGACTAAGTCTTACCTCATGTTACAAAACCTCAAGCATATGATTGCCATTAGAATGTCTAGCACAAAAAGCACAGCCCAGACTTCCATCTTCAAAAAAGAATGATATGTGCTATCTGCATATAAACACAGATTAAAGTCTTGGTGCTAAAGAAAAGGTGCTTCAAGAAAATATTATCTACTGTGTATTTGTAAGTTGGCATAGCATTTTTACTTAAAATGTTTCAAAAACTGAAAACACACACTTCACTATAAAAATTGAACCAACATTAGAAAAGTTTTATGAAACCAAATAATAACTTTAAGAATCTATTTCCAGTAGTGTCAACGGTGGTTGCTTCGTGGCCCATATGCCATACATGTATGAAAGCAAGTGCAGTCAAGCAGAATACAGCACGGCTCACAAGAACTTTAGAGCAAACGAACAGTTTTTCCAGTTACTGTCAAGAAGTCATCATCAGCCAAGGCATGCAATGCTTCTTCAAACATATCTTTGGTAATTGCCTTTGAGAGGGGAAGAGGAGGAAAACAAATATTTTACATGTCAAGCACTCTCTTACCTGTTAAGAGATACAATGATTTCAGTGTTAAAGAATCTGAAATCATCAGTCTCTTCCCTTTTTGGTGGCTGTATATACATTTCTTATGGTCTAACTTAGGAGTGGCAAACTTTTCCTGTAAAGGGCCAGATGATAAACACTATAGGCTTGGCGTCTGTCACAACTACTCAACTTTGCCCCTGCTGTGCCAGTGCAGCCAGACAATACATCAGTGAAGGGGCACTATAACAGGCAAAGAGATGGTTTGGCCATCAGAGTTCTTTTCACTGAACAACTCAACTTATTCACAAAAGGGCATCTGAATATTTCATCCCCAAAACATAACAAATAAATGTGATGTTTCTAAATTAAGATGTGTATTTGTAACATTATAATAGAAAAAACTGTAAACATCCTGTATGTCCAACTGGTTAAGTAATGATGGAATATGGATGCAACAGAATGTTACCCAACTTTTATGAATGTCATGAAGTCTATTTACCATCAGATGTTAATAGTATTAATTTAACCATTAATTAAAAAGAAAAGCAGCAGCAAGTCACAAAACAGTATAAATATAATTGACTATTTCCAATTTTTAAAAATCACATGTGTACAAATACACATAGAAAACCCACAAAAGGAGTATAATAAAATTTTATTAGTGATTATTTCTTGATGATGGGTGTATGGGTGATCTTTCTTTATTGTTACCTACACTTATTACTTAAACAATAAAGGGAAAAATAAGAAAAAAACTTTAAAGTATTAAAGAAAAAAACTATCACACAAAAAAATACATGTAAACACTTACTATGTCAGATTGTCCTCGAATATCTTCAAAAAGTTGCTGGTATTTTAGAGCTGGTGTTTTGCCTTTAGATAAAATAAGTTTTTTCAGCGCTTCAGCTAACTCTTCTTTCCGTTTACGAGAGGTGGCACTCATTCCTGATTTTAAAAAAATTAATAAAAATATTTCTGCTACAAGAAGTGAAATGTTTCATATTTCTATCAAGGTTAGGCGTCAGTAGCTAAATGCTAAAATACATTCAAAATCATGAGCTCTCAATTCTCTGCTGTTTCCAATTTTCTATAAGCCAATAGCTGCTACTTTCTACTGAAACATAGTATACATAATCTAATTAGCAGAGTCATTCACTACTCATTAAGAAATGAATTAATTCTTTAAAATGGGATAACATGGGTACCTAGAGAGCAGAAGAAATAGAATCTCTTTGAAATTAGATACAACACCGTGCGTATACTAGTATATATTTTTCTCAGAAGTTAGCATGTATTTTTCTCACAACTTTTATCAGAATCTCAAAGGGGCTCTGATCCAAAAAAGGTTAAGTACCTCTGCTTCAAATGACTGAATAATTAGCTTAAATGTGAAATATTAATTAGTCATATATTAAATAATTTTCATGAGTTCTTATGTTTAGCACAAATAACAAACCTGTAGTAAGAATAGATATGTCCACGATGCCTGTCCTGGGGTCAGTGGCAGACTGCTTCAGAGCCTCCCGATGCAGGCGTTTTGCCTCTTCAACATCAACTGCTTCAACTTTGTTTGAAAATCGTACTTTAGCGTGGGCTTCTGCTAAGCGAATCAAAGACTCCAGCTGTCGCGGGTATGCAGAAACCATTCCTCGGCTACTACCAATCTTCCTCATGTCTACATAAGCCTAATGTAAACAAGAAAAAAAACCAAAATTCTTTGGTAACTATTATAACCTTAGTTCTGTGGCTGAACATTTAGGATTCCATTACATAAGTGGAACTCCTGCATGGCTGCCACGTATAGGTACTGCGGAGAATTAAAAGTGAGATCAAGTTTTGTGCCTCGCCTTCATCAAGGTGGTGTCTGAGGCAGCTCTGAAGAATGGAAAATGGGAATGGGCAGTGAAGATGCATGAAGCCCGGCACTCAGAGGACATGGTGTGTTGGGGTGGAGGGGTAGGGTGCAATTAGAGCAGAGGCCTCTAATCAGGGAGTCTGTCTGAAAAAAGTCCTCTAGCACTGACTCTTGTTTATACACTTGCTAAAGATCCATTTAACAAGGCACCCAAAGGAGTAGGTAAACTGTATTAAACTTATAAACAGGTGATATAGTTTTATTTCTTTCTGAGCATCCTCAAGAATGATACAAATGGAAAATTACATATCATTTGTAACTTTCATTTGAAAGCATTCTTGGGAGCTTCATTAGGATGCAAAGCCTATCAAAACATCAGGAAACCTTCCTAACACAAGGTTTAAATAACCTAGCATATGTCGTCATGCACTGCTGTCCATGTAAAAAGATATTGAAAAAGTGAACATAAAGTACTTTTAATTCATTTTATTTTTTAGTAACAAGCAAATGGAAGCTAAGAGAAACTGGATGACTTGTCCAGAGTTACAGAGTTACCAAGTAGCATCACCTGTATTTCTGATCTTAAATTCACTATGCTTATAAGTATTGAAATATAAAAAGTGTGGGGGGAGGGAAAAAATGGCGTAGACAAAAAGGCTCTGTTCACCCCTCTGGCGACCAAATCAGAGTTGTGACAGAAACAAGGAGCAAGCAGCAAGGAAAAGTCGCCTGGGATCTAGATGAACAAGCCATACAACTAGGGAGAAATCCAAGAAATTACCCAGCAACGGCAGAAGGTAGGACAGGGCGAGGATGTGACGCTGCCCAGTCTTGAGCTACTGAGTGGGACAGAGGCAGCGGTAACAGCAGACTCCTCTTAAAGGGGCCACGTCTGCGAGGGGATTTTCACGGCGACGGACCTGCTTGCTCTGAGCACCAGTGCCGATTCAGCTGCACGCAGGGGGCACCAGGGACTTGCAGGGAGAATCACTCTGTACAGAAGTGCTGGCGGTATCCATTGTTCCCTGTTGAGCCCTCCCCACTCCCAGTGAGCAGACACAGGAACACCATAGCTGAGTCGTCATCAAACTGGATAGCAGAGGTTGCTCTGCCCAGAGGATTCCTCGAAACCCTGCCTCTCCCAGCTCGTGGCCCTACTCAAGCCACATCCAGGTATATCCTCAGAGAGTCAGGTACTCCTTGCTGAGCAGCGCCTAGACTCACACTGGAGGCAGCTGGCCTTGGTTTCTGGTGTGGCCTCTTGAGGCAACTATGAGCACAGCATCTGTGGATTGCTTGCTGAATCTTAACAGGTGTCCCCGGAGGGGCAGAGGCTTGGGCTAAATTTGGCCTGCAGATGAACCCCTCTCAGGACTGTGCCACTGGATACCTACTTCACAAATCCACAATAAGAAAACCGGGAGACTTTGCTTAGTACACAGAAATAGACAAGGAAAGGCAGACAAAATGGGAAGACAATGAAGCAGAAGCCATATGAAAGAACAGAACAGAGATTCAGATATAATGGAGTCAAGCAATCTAACAGATGCAGAGTTCAAAACACTGGCTATAAAGATGCTCAATGAACTTTTGGGAAGAGTAGATAATTTCAGTGAGAACTTCAAAAAGAGCTAAAAACATAAAAATGGAAATGAAATTATAAAGGGGAACCAGTCTGAAGAACACATTATCTGAGATGAGAAGTATATTAAATGGAATAAACAAAGGAATAAACAAAGTGAACAAAGAAAAGGATCAAAAGACCTATCTAGAGGATGGGAAAGCCAAGGACACACAATCAGAATGGCAAGAAAAAAGATGGCAAGACTATAAAAATAATTTAAGGAGAATATGGGACACTATTAAGGGTCAAAATATTCATCTGATCGGCATACCTAAAAGAAAACAAGATGCTAAATAGCTGTTTGAAGAAATAATGATGGAAAACTTCCCTAACCTCGTGAAGGAAATGGACGCAAAACCCCATGAACTCAGAGAATCCCAAAAACCAGGGATCCAAAGAGGCCCACAACAAGACACGTCATAATTAAGATGCTAAAGGTTAAATACAAAGAAAGAAGATTAAAAGCAGCAAGAAAAAAGCAGATAGTTACCTATAAGGGAACACCATAAGGCTGGCAGCTGATTTCTCAAGAGAAACTATGCAGGGCTTAGCACAAAATATTCGATGTGATGAAAACCTGGGATCTACAACCAAGATTACTTGATCCAGCAAAGCTATCATTTAGAGTTGAAGGACAGGTAAAGAACTTCCCAGACAAAAATAAGCTGAAGGAATTTATCGCCACCAAGCCAGTATTACAGAAAATGTTGGAGGGACTTCTTTAAGAGGAAAAAACATGTATCAAAAACAGGAGTAAAGAATGGTAACAACCACATTCCTATCAATAAGTACCTCAAATGGAAAAGAACTAAGTACTCCAACTAAAAGATAGAGTGGATGAATGGATAGGAAAACATGACCTCTAACATGCTGCCTATAAGAGACTCACTTCAGATTAAAAGACACACACAGACTGAAAGGAAGGGGCTGGAAAAGATATTGCTTTGATAGACCTAGAAAGTATTTAAGTCAGACAGAGAAAGATAAACACTATATGATTTCACTTATATGCAGAATTTAAGAAATAAAAAGAACAAACTAATCAAAAACAGACACAAATAGTGGACAATTTGGTGAAGGACAGAGGGGAGAGAGGTTTGGGGGGCTGAGAGAATTAGGTGAAAGGTTAAAAAGGTACAAATTAGTAGTTGATGGATGGTCACAGGGATGAGGAGCACGGCATAGGAATGTAGTTAGCATTAATTCGCTGGCTAGGAGGAGGGTTAGGGGAGGGAGGGAGTAATTGGGGGATATTTTTACTAATTATATAGATGTCTAACCAATGTACTGTATACTTCAAACTAATTAAAATAAATGAATTAGAAAAAAAGAAATATAAAAAGTGTGTACAACCTATAGAAATGAATCCTTTCCCCCTTTTCACATTTGGAAAAGTCAATTTTGCAACAGAGGAGGAAAAAGTAGTTATAGAAAATAGTATGTTCTTCTTAAAATAAGGACTGTTTTAAGAGAATGATTGACTAGTTACATTAAGGCTTTTGGCTAGAAGCTCAGCAAAACAGTTTTTCAGGCTTTAAACACGAACGTGTGTTACCTCAATGAGAGCTTGGCTGGCTTCCTGGCTCAGCCGGGGCATGACCATGCTGTGTGCATAAGCAATGTAGTCCTTTAGGACTGCCATGTCCATGAACTCCTCCTCCACTTGCTCCTCACTCTGGTAGTATAGAGCGACGAGGTGGTGAGCCAGACGCCTGTCGTAGGCTTCGTCCTGAGGGTCCAGCATGAGGAAGATCAAATCAAACCTGAGAAAATATTGCAAAAACATTGTTTTCCTAATTGAGACACTAACATACCTACAAACAATTTAAAAATTGCTTTTGGGCTACCTAGGCACATGCTTAGTCAGGGCTGCTGAGGGAGAATAAGCTTCTTCTGTCCAGATCGCCTAAAGAGGCTTCGGATCAATCCAATTCACCCCACTCTGTCTCCAGCAGATGTGCGCTTTCTTGGCCCTTAGGTCTGCCCAGAAAACGGCTGGTTACCAAACGTTGAGTCAAAGAATTAAGACTTCCCCGAAGGAAATGTTATTATAATTTTGAAGACAAGAAGATATAAAAGTACATTCAGCTGTTTGTTTTTTTTGGGGGGTGGCGGGGGGGAAGGATTTCATTAAAAAAATAATCAGTCTAAAATAATTTTATGAAATACATCAATATTTGGAGGAGGTCAATAAACTGGATTATATGATTCCACTTTAACAAATTTAATTTTTCAGAACCATATCCACCATGTGAAGATATACTCTATAGAACAGAGGATAGTGGTTGGTTCTCAATAGTGGCTTTAAGACTGAGATAAGAGTACTGAGGGACATGCTTCAGAAAAAAATGTCAAGGTGAAATGTTCTAATTGTTTCAAAAACAAACAAAACAAAACAAAAAAACAAAACAAAAAGAAAACAAAATGTACGTTAAGGTGCTACCCATAGCTGAGCAGAGAAACACGGTCCTTGCCATAAAAACTCGACCAACCAAATTTGAAAACTTTTGTGTTAGAGTGAAGAATTTGATGTTAACAGTTGCTGAATATTAGTATTTCCTTTTCTTAATCTCACTCTGAGAATTCTACAAATGAGCAAAGAATGTCTATTTTACAAAAATACGTTTTCATACCTTGATAATAATGTGTGAGGCAGCTGGATATTTTCAATAGTAGTTTTTTTAGGATTCCATTGAGACTCGATGGGATTCGCTGCTGCCAAGATAGAGGTGCGTGCATTGAGTTGACAAATAATCCCAGCCTACCAAAGAGAACAGTGCAGTTAGAAGCCTCACCCTGATGCTGGCAGGAACTATGTGACCCATGGTCACTGAGTATGGCTTCTGCCATGTCTCTAATGTCACCAAGAGCCATATTACCTCCTAAAGGTGACTTCGGCAGTTCCACCTGGGACAATATTCTGTCCTTGGATTCATGTCGAGGACTGAGTTTTATATAAACGTATATTCTATGTCTTTTTAAGAAACTAAACTCCTTGCATGAGATTTAGGACAAACTCAAGTTCTGTGAAAACCACACATTAGTGGGTTAGCACAGCAAAAAAGATGAAAGAGGATCCTGTAGAACAGTGGTCCCCAACCTTTTTGGCACCAGGGACCTGTGCTCCTATAAGAATCTAATGCATGATGATCTGAGGTGGAGCTGAGGCAGTAATGCTAATGCTGGGGAGCAGCTACAAACACAGATGAAGCTTTGCTCACTTGCAAGCTGCTTACCTCTTGTGGTGAGCCCCAGTTCCTAACAGGCCATGGACCGGTACCGGTCCGTGGCCTGGGGGTTTTCCCTGCTGTAGAAAATACTCAGATTTAGCTGAAATCTAATAGGAAAAGTATTTACCAGTTTCCCAAAGTTTAGAACCAAGGTAACTGCATAGTTCCACAGATGCTTTAATTCAAATGTCCACACATTTTAAACATGACCATGTTTATAGATGAACAACGTGACTCACCTTTGCAATGGAAAGAGTCTGCTGCTCCATGACTTCATGCAGTACTGATCTTGTACTTTCGTTCATCTTGTCAAACTCATCAATACAGCAGATACCATTGTCACTGAGGACAAGGGCACCAGTCTGCAGGACAAGCTGCCTCGTTTCAGGGTCTTTCATTACATATGCAGTGAGGCCAACAGCACTGGAGCCCTTCCCGGATGTGTACTGCCCCCTGGGGACCAGATTGTACACATACTGCAGCAGCTGGGACTTGCTGGTCCCAGGGTCACCGCACAGCAGAATGTTGATCTCAGCACGAAATTTGCCCCGTCCTGTGTGACTAAAATCCTTTCTTGTTCCGCCAAAGAGTTGAAGCAAGATTCCCTAAACAAACAAACATGTCTAAACTTTCATTTACTATAGAGTAACTTATAGCTTAAATGTTAGAGGTACTTTATAAATTACAACTAAGAAATTTAAGTAAAGGTATAAAAGTGTATATGATAGTGCTTTAAGTTATCCCTAACCAGTTTATACAGAAGCATACACCATCATGCCAGAATAGTGGCCATGTAAATCCCTATTCCAATCCTGTGTGGCTATTCTTGTTTATTTTTTATGATTATTATTATTTTTATCATTTATTATTCTTTATGCCTACAGTACCTGGTCTTCCTAGGAGGTCTCCCATCCAAGTACTAACCAGGCCCGACCCTGCTTAGCTCCTGAGATCAGACATCGGGCTTGTTCAGGGTGGCATGGCTGTACACAATGAACCATGACTCCACTGGGGTGCAAACCCAGGGCCTTCTGCGTGTAAAGCAGACATGCTAACCGCTACATTAAGGAACCACATCCTAATCTTATGTTTATAAACATGTAAGGTTGATGTAGAGATAAAGAAATGGACAATGGTGCTGTGATTCTTCTCCACCAATAACCAAGTCAGGTTATAAGTGCCACGCTCTGCCAAACAGGCAACAGTTATTACCTTTATGGGGTCAAACACTATGACCCCATAAAAAATACCTATAGATTCCAATTATAAATTAAAAATCCATTTTTACCTTCTTTATATCTTCGTGTTCATAAATGCTTGGAGCCAAGGCTGATGCAAGTCTCTCATAAATGTCTGGTTTTCTGGAAAGTTCTTTAAGCAATTCCACATGCTTCTCTGAAAAAAGTTTCTGTTCTGCTTCTTCATCAAGGCCATGAAGACGTTTTGCATCAGTTTTTCGATAATGAATGACATCAATGTGGGTTTTGTAGACAGACTTGACATTACTCACTCTTGGGTTGACTCGAATAGGCACAGCTCGATAGATGCCTGAAGGCACAACCATAAAACATACTTTTACCTTCTACTAAAAGGCTCAGTAAACCAGCACTGACAACAAGGCAGCACTGAGAGCTGACAGCTGGCACTGGAGGGGGTGAGCTCCAAGCACATGTCTTTCATGGACGTCCTAGAGTTGAGGACTCAGGCTTACACCATAAAGTTCTCTGCTGAAGGGGATAGGATCAAGTTGGAATAAACATAGGTTTCTGAAAAAGGCAGACCTAAAATTGTGCTCATCTGTGACGACTTGTTAGCTCTGTGACCTTGGGCACTTATATGAGCATAAACGCATTGTACATAATCATTTTGAGGTTTAAATGAAATTACTTTGCTTCTAGCACAACGCTTGGCTCATGGATAGTATACTTGGTTCATTGAAATAATTTTGAAAAAATTATACAGAATGTGCTTAGTAATTATTTTACTGGAACAAAGTACTACTAAAATACTGTACCAAAAACTTGGAAAGGAAATCCTAAAAGCTCAAGTCTTTTGTCTATGGCCATGTGCCCAATCTCATCTGATCTTGGAAGCTAAGCAGAGTTGGATCTTGTTAGTACTTGGATGGGAGACCACCTAGGAATCCCAGGTGCTACAGGCGGTTTTTTCTAAAGAAGCTCAAGTCTTTTAAAAATCATTCACAAATTATTTCAGACAATAAGACAATCTACTGATTGAAGATATGGTGAAGGAAAAATGACTGTATTTTGTTTGTAATGGGAGGTATTTCTAGGTGAATGATCGAGCTCCACCGTACACCCTACTTCCTAAACAACATTAAGAGGTAGGTAAATAAGTAACCCTTCGAACATACCAACTCATCCATTCCCCAAGAACAAGAATTTCCCAAACTGCTGTCTGATGTTTAATCTTTTTGAATTTCAAACTAGAACCCTTGAATACCAGGACAATTCAGTTTCCTGTTGTTTTTTGAGAAAATATTCAATCTCTCCCTCACAGCTTTTACAACATGCCGCTATAGATCATTAGTTCTTTTATGTAAAAGGTCAATGTAATTCTTTTTAAAAACATAAAAATCAGTTTATATGTAACAATATTAGAATACACATCATTCTTCATATCAAGACAGATTAGGGATGGATAACTATTATATCTAAAGCAGCTTAGTTAACTTTATTGGCACCTATAATGATTCCTCTTCACAGATCAGCATTGATAATACTTATTTTGCATGTATACAGCACTTTGACAATCACTTCTTCCCAAACACATTCACATGTATCATCATATTAGTTCCAATTCGCAGTTCAGGAAATTAAAATATTGGATTAAACACTTCATCAAGGGCTTCAGAGCAATGGAGTGGCAGAACGAGGATTGTGTAACTTGAAAGATGACAAATCTTTCAAATTTTTACCTACTACGTGTATCTTTTAACTTAAAACTGCTAGCAAAAACTACTAAACTTCATATTAGGAACGACACAGGATGAAAAGTCCTGACTCACTGAGTGGAACATATGGACTGCCTCAGGAGCCTTAGCTACTCTTTGAACTCAATTCCCACACTCCCCTCAATAAAACTACGCTGTGGGCATAAGGACCAGTCAAGACGGCATAGAGCCCCAACCTTTTTGGCACCAGGGATCAGTGTTCCTATGATAATCTGATGCCTGATAATAGGTGGAGCTGAGGCGGTGATGCTAGTGCTGGGGAGCAGCTGCAAATACTGATAAAGCTTCATTTGCTCATCTGCCGCTTACCTCCTGCTGTGTGGCCCAGTTCCTAATAGGCCATGGACTGGTACTGGTCCGCAGCCCAGAGATTGGAGTAGAGGGCAGAGGCTTTGTATATCTCCTCTTGCCACCACACTAAGCTACAGAGCAAACAGCAATCAGAGTTACCTGAGGAATGGATGAAGAAAAGTTCTACAACTAGGGAGAGAAATAAATCACCTTGGAACAGGAGAAGGGAGCAGAGATACGAGGCTGCCCGATCCCACACCAGGTAATCATAGAGGTTATGGCAGCTGTAGCCGGCAGGTGCAGACATTTCTCTTAAAGAGACTGTGACATTTTCGTGGTGACTCGACTACTATGAGCTCTAGCATGCAGACACAGGCGCCACCATAGCTGAAATGTCATCAAACTGGATAACTGGTCGCTCTGCCCAGAGGATTCCCTAAAACTCCGCCCCTCCCAACTTGTGGCCCTACTCAAGTATTTAGTGGTGTCCTCTGAGTGCCCTGTGCCCCTTGCTGAGCAGCTCCAAGCCTTGCACTTGTGGCAGCTGGTCTCGGTTTCTGGTGTGACCTCGTAAAGCAACTGTAAGTTCAGGCAACTGTAAACACAGTATGGTGGCAGCTGTCTGTGGATTGCTTGCCAACTCTTACCAGGTGGCCCTGGAGGGGTACAGGCTGGGGCTAAACTTGGCTTGCAGCTGGACTTCTATAAGGACTGTGCCACTGGGCCCCACAGGACACCTACTACACAAAGCCACGCTACTGAGACTAGGAGACTAAGGAGCTTTACTTAGTATATAGAAACAGACACAGAAAGGCAGCCAAAATGGGGAGACAAAGAAGCATGTCCCACATGAAAGAACAGAACAGAGCTCTAGAAAAAGATCTAAACAAAGTGGAGGCAAGCAATTTACAGATGCAGAGTTCAAAACACTGGCTGTAAGGATGCTCAATGAATTTAGGGGAAGAGTAGATGAAATCAGTGAGAACTTTAATAAAGAAATAGAAAATATAAAAATGGAGATGGAAAACATAAAAGGGAACCAGTCAGAAATTAAGAATATAAGATCTGAGATGAAGAATACATTAGAGGGAATCAACAGAGTGGATGAAGAGGAGGATCAAATTACCAGTATAGAGGATAGGATAGTGGAACACACCCAATCAGAAAAGCAACAAGAAAAAAAGAATCCATAATAAATGAAGATAATTTAAGGAGCTTATGGGACATCAAACATACCAACATTCACCATCATAGGGGTACCAGAAGGAGAAGAGAGAGAGAGACAGAAGGTAAAAACCCATTTGAAGAAATATGGCAAGAAAACTTCCCTAACCTGGTCAAGGAAACAGACATACAACCCCAGGAAGTTTAGAGTACCAAAAAAAGATGAACTCAAAGAGGACTACACTAAGACACATCATCATTAAACTGCCAAAGGTAAATACAAAGAGAATCTTAAAAGCAGCAAGAGAAAATCAGTTAGTTACTTACAAGGGAGCACCTATAAGACTGGCAGTTGATTTCTCAAAATGAACTTTGCAGGACAGAAAGGCTTGGTATAAAATATTCAAAGCGATGTAAAGCAAGGATCTACAACCAAGATTACCCAGCAAAGCTATCATTTAGAGTTGATGGACAGATAAAGAGCTTCCTAGACAAGAAAAATTTAAAGGAATTCATCACACCAAGCCAGTACTAGAAATGTTGGAGGGACTTCTTTAAGAAGAAAAAACATGTATCAAAAATGTGAATAAAGAATGGCAATAACTATAACTATATATCTATCAACAAGTACTTTAAATGAAAAAGAATTAAGTGCTCCAATCAAAAGATAGGGTGGCTGAATGGATAAAAAACCAAGATCCTTATATATGCTGCCTACTTCAGATTAAAACATACACACAGACTTAAAGTAAAGGGACAGAGAAAGATATTGCATGATGGACCTAGAAGTTATTGTGCTGAATGGAGTAAGTCAGATAGAGAAAGGCCATATGATTTCATGTACACGTAGAATCTAGAGAACAAAATAAACAATGATAGCAACAACAACAAAAATGAAAACAAACTCATAGATAAAGAGAATATTTCGAGTCACCACCAGATGGCAAGGAAGGTTGGGGGGAAATGGGTGAAAAAGGACAAAGTGATTAAGAAGTACAAATGGGCAGTTACAAAATAGTCATTGAGATATAAAATATAGTATAAGGAACATAGTCAATGATGTTGTAATAAATATGTAAGGGGGAAGAGGAGTACTAGATTTACCGGGGTGATCACTTTGTGAGTTATAAAGCTCTCTAATCACTAGGCTGTACACCTGAAACTAATATATTGTATGCCAACCATAATTGAAAAATAAAAAAATATTAAAAAAAACTATGTCTGCCATAAACCACCCCCCCCATCCCAACGAAACCAAGTGCCCGTACTACTATGAAGTGTTGAAAGAAACACTGGCATATTCATGTGGAAGGAGCACTCTCTTGGCAGTAAGAGAAAATGAGCCCAAGGCCCAGAAATTACTGTAGAATCTCAGCTGCTGACCTATACTTCTCTGAATCTCAGCTTCCTCATCTCTAAAAGCACCATAATGTAACTCCTGGCATGGAAGCAAGGTGCTCTGATCTCTTCTTTCCTATAATAAATTTTAACCCTTAGCTGCAATTAGGAAATAAGTAGAAAATTCTTTAAAATTCCAGAGTTGGTAAGCATGACTTTCTGGAGCTGCTTGCAGAGCTCAAATCTTGCCAATTCCAGCCTTGTCCAAAGCTGTTTTCTCAAGGTACCAACACTATGAAGTCAAGATACACACATAGCTTCGGGACACTGACATAGCAAGAAAGAGACTTGCAAGGACAATGCATTGTAACATTCTGTCCTGCTAGGTTAAAAATAAGGCAATTAAAGCAGTATGCTCCACCTTCTAAAGACCTGAATGACAGCTGAAGGAAGGACCAAGCCCTATGCCAATAAATTCATGATCGAGCCAAAGGACTAAAAAGTGCCATTAAAAGATAGAACTTATTGCATTAACAAACCTACATTCTTACCAGTAACATTTACTCTGTCCCCAGGTTGAACCTTGTCAACAAGATCATTGTGAGCAAAAAGGATGACAGTGTGAGGCGTCTGACCAGCGGGCATATCTTCAGGAGACTCTTGAAGTTTGATCTGAAAGAACAGTGAAAAACAGAGAACTCAGGAAATGAAGAAAGCATAATGGGAAAAAATTGCAAGTCTTTGTACCACTTAGAAATATTTTTGATGCCTAGCATCTTTTTTAAAACATTATCATTATAATCTCCAATTAATAGTTTTTAAAAAATATGACATGAACATGCTTTTTGTGAGGTTATTTATTTAAACATTCCCCTGAGGGAGAGGGGAAGTGATTTAGGTCACTATTTTTTTTTTTTTTTGCCATTTTAAAGCTGTAGTGGGTATCTCTTAGCTTAACTGTTTGTCGACATTTCAAATTATTTTTTTGAGAAGTTACTTCTAGTAATTTCCTGGGTGAAAAGCACGTACTTCTCAGGTTTATGGTTAAGGACTTCTGTGCATCTCTCCTAGTTATTGCATGCACCTCACAAATACTTGCCTGTTTATCTAATTATATCTACTCATCTACCAACCCCTACTGGGCACTGTTCTAGATGTTGGAGGCTGCAATGAACAAAGTCTCTTCCCTCAGAGTAGAGGGGGGGACAGATAATACATAAACACACAAGTGAGAATGTATCAGATCTGACAGTAACAAATGCAACAGACAAAAGAGTAAAGAGCACAGACAGTGGGAATAGAAGAGATGCTTTTCATAAAGCAAGGTTAGGGAAGCCATTCTCAAATCAGGTGACCTCGAAGTCAAGGTCCAAGGATGTTAGGGAGGAAGCATGTGTTCTCAATGAAAAGAACAGCAGAAGTAAAGGTCCTGCGTCAGGCTTGAGCTTGGCTGATAAACCTTGAATAAATAGTTGAAACAATGTCAGCAAGGTCCATGGGTATAAAAAGGTGTGTTGTGGGTGATGATGGGACACAGTAGGCTTGGAGATTACTCTAAGATATTAAGTTTTATTCTAAGTCAGTTTGGGAGTCTCTGAAGCATTCAAAGAATACTATACTGCAAGTTCCTTGGGAGGAGGGATTCCACCTTTGTATCTCCAGCTCTTAACGCCATGCTGAGGTACATTTGTTCCAATAATTTATACCAATATTAGATGAAAATTCACATCTTAATTTTTTCAATTATTTGGTTAGTAATTAAGTTACACATTCACATTTGCTAGTGTTTCTCTTATTGACCCATAATAAATTACGGAAATTATCTTTTATAGAATTTTGAACATTCTCTCTCCTTAACACTAAAAAAGTTGTTTAACCATTGTACAATAAAAGTCCTTATGCATACTTTTACACCATTACAGTCACAGTAAATGATTTTTCTGCCTTTCCTACTTGTTACTTTAATAACTTCATCTTAAAAATTTCATGATTAAAGAGATAAAAAATCAAACTACCTATGCAGTATTTGTGAGAAAAACTTTAGAAAAATTTCTCAACCCATTCTTTACCAGTGGAACAGTTGCAAAATGGCAGGATTCAACCAAATAGTTTTTACTGATCTTAAGTATTTTATATACTCTTTTCTGGCATACTAAAAAAAATTTACAATCTTAAATATTTCCCATAGAAACACTTCATGTTAAATTTAATAAACCAAAGAGGCTAATTTGATCTGTTAACTTATAAACGACATTAAACTTAAAATATTTATAATAGAAGAATACATGCTATCTCTTTATGGAATACTGTAGGCCATGAGAATATGGAGTATATACTAATGAACTGGTGGCTCACTGGCAATAAAATAGGGACACTGCCATACCAAAGCTGAAGGCTTAAGAGTGCTCCAAGCATCCAGTCTCCAACCCTCTAACAAAAACTACACTATCAGAGAAGGGATGAAGCAGTTGAATGCCATTTAGAAAGCAAGGTTTTAGGGCTTCACAAGTGGACAAGTTACACATGGCTTTTTGAGGATCCAGATACAGGCAGAATAAAGGTAAAATATGCCAAAGGGAGGGCCACCAAGGACACCCAGGAAGGTCACATACCATCTGCTTGTCGGAAAACACAGAGCGGTTGTGGATCAGTGCCATGCTATGGGTGGTGTGGCAGCGCTCGCACACGCAGGGTTCAGCAATGCGGCCGCGGTCCATCTCTACCCGCACTGTGTAGGCGCACACCTGGCACTGGAAGAAGGCCTCCTGCATTTCTGGAATCAGCTGGGATGTCCTGATTACCATGCCACTGATGGCGATGAGTTGATCAATGTCTGCAAGGGGGAGAGAGGTCAGCTTGTCCGTTAGCCACTGTCCACGGCCCAGCCAGATGTGGTATCTCCCAGAGCTGGATTCTTGCCAGGGCAGGTCTGGGTCTGCTGTCAAGCCCAGAAAGACCTTACCTGGAGGACCAGAAATACCTGGGGATGGTTGGGGTCACTGGTAGGCGCTGTGACTAGGGTACGTCTCATTGGGTACTACTTCAGGTCTGGCCAACAGTGCCCTTTATGTGTCTAGTCAGTCTTCCTCTCAACCCCAATGGACCTCTGACTCTTTCTTCCTCAGGGCTCCCTGACCAACAGGCATCCCGCCATCATCTTTTTTTTCTGCCTCCTGCCTGGCTCCACTTTCTTGTTTTGGATTGAAAACTGTATGCTTTTGTCTACTTTGTGCTATGACCTTCCATCTAACTCACTGTGCCATACACAAGTCCTGCTATTTCACTGTATGTGAAAAGCATGGGCTCTAGAGCCACACAGCCTGGATTAAGTACCTGTGTGACCTTGGGGGTAACCTTAGCCTCTCTCTATCTCATCTATAGAATGGGAGTAATGACAGTACATACCTCAGAGTTGTTGAGAATTAAGAGTAAGCATACATCAAGTTTATTAAGAATAGTATCTGACATAGAGGCACTATATAACTTAGCCAATCACCACTATCTATACAAGAAAGGCCCTATATAGATTATTTTATACTCCGCTTATGGTCCTCCCATGACAGCTTTTCCCCCAACTAATTCCACTGCTGGTTCTAAATGAGTTACACTGTTATGTGTAGTCAACAAAACATGCCCTCTAGTTTTGCCAACCTTGCAGATCTTCCCATCCTCTAAGTACTTACTGCTGATTCAAGAGGCCTTTCCTCTGATCCTGTCCTCCCATGACTTTTCTTTGCTTTTCCTCACTAATACTTTACTTAAAATGTAACTTTTGTAATAAGTTACAAAAATAAATGTAAAAGCTAAAACGTGTTGGAATCAGTTGAGTACCTCGCAATGAGTAATCTCTAATCTTACTCTGCAATTCTTTGTGTAAAATACCCCTGACTCTGAAAACTTAAATGCAACACTCACTCTTAAACAGCTCTAACTCTTCCAGTGTCCCCACCAGAAATCACTATCATAGAGATGTCAGGAGACAATTTCATAAGAGAAAAATAAAAATTACACTTATTTAATAAATAGTAAAGTCAAACACTTGCTCATCTTACTTTCTTTTACTGAAATCTCGTCTTTTATGCATTTATCTAGAGCGGTATTCATTAATTTTCAGTAGCTTTCATACTTCAATTTTCATACAAGACAAATATCATGTTTGTCCTATTTTTTTACTCCTATGACCACTGTCTAGCTTAGGACCCTGCTACTCATATTTGAGCTATTGCTAAGTTTCTTAACTGAACCTCAACATACTTTGCACACCAGACCTATCATGAACTTCTCAAGAGTGGCAAATCTTTCTCAGTGGTCCCTATTGACTAGAATAAAATATCTAGATTAAGTTGGACTTCAAAGTTCATTAGAACCTAGGCTTTCCAGCCTCCATGGAAACAGTACAACCCAACTCCCTGCTTCAGCAATCACTTTATTGCCCACCCACAGCTGTTTTGCTCCCTTGTTTCTAGCTATATCTTTTTTCTGCTGTCTAGAGAGAATTCCTTCATGTCTGCTTTCCAAATCCTTACTGCAACCCCAATTTCTATTTCACCATGAACTCTTCCCACTTGGGCCCAGCGCTCTCCTTCTCTTCCTAGACTGAGACATCTCCTGCAGTGTTCTTCAGTTCTTCTATCTCTTCTTTTATTCCCTTTCCCAAGTATTTTTTCTTAAACTCCAGAGAAGGGATCATATATGTTTTCTACAGTGGAGAAAGTGCCTACTTAATAACTGTAAAATTATTGTATTTGGATAAATTCACCTTAAGATAGAGAATTGTCAATAGTTACAAAATCTTTTATATAATTTCAGTTAAAAAAAAGGTATGTTTGGTTCATGGTTCATAATAGTATAGGGTAACTGAAGCTGCTATTTTGTCAATTTCTAATCCATCACCACCAATATCACCAATTTTTTTAAAGGTCTTTGATGAAAGAAGATTTTACTTTCATGTAAGGTATTTTCCTGCCATTAAAAATATTACCTTCTGGATTCAGGTTTCTCATATTCTTAGTCTTCAATGCATTGAATGGTCTTACTTGAATCTGGTGTTCTAAGATTGAGTCAGGGTAACGGTCAAAGAAGATCTCATTGACAGCCATGTCAAAAGTTGGAATAACCTCCTGTATAAATGAATAAGGTGCTAAGCTGTGTTTCTATTTCTACCTTAGAGTTATATATAAATAAAGCATTTTACATTACTAAATTGTAAAGGCAAAAATACATGGCATAAGCTAAAAACATCACCCTAAATAATCACACATGCCATTTACACACCTTTGGCACACCAAACTATCTTATCTTCTGTGTGCTCTCATTAGGGTTAAATGTGATTATAATGTATGAAAACGCCTTCACTATGTTTCAGCATATTTTAGGCTTTTAATTAGTAACAGAAAGGATTTGAAGCACATACTTTCATGTTTTACCTTTTCTCCACAATGAAATGAGACCAAAATGGATTAAATCATAATTATTCAATTTGTTAATACTTGTTCCCCATTCTGCAGACAAGGAAACAGCCTCTGTGGAGCTAAGCAACTTGACACAGGTTACATAGCAATTAAACAGAAATGTCAAGATTTAAAACCAAGTGCTCCTTCTTCCAAAGTCTACAGCTGGAATCAACATAGCTGATACATCATTAATAAAATCCGACTTTAAGCCTTGAAGAAGACCACAGTACGTTTAATATAATGTTACAGATGGCACAAGTTTATGATATATTTATAAAGTATTTCTACTTAAGATAATTTACTTCATCAAACCCAAGAAGATTTGCCATTACTTTATATACTATTAAGAAACACTGCCATTAAACTATGACGTGTCATTGACAGTAATATACATCTCAATTTCAGAAATGTTAGTGTGAAAAAAATGCTTATCTTAAAAGAGATTAAACATGGTTTTCTGAAAGTTATTTTTTGCTTCGGAAGCAAATTTCCTCTGTTAATCGCCAAGAAAATTTTGCTATCCAAAGTCTCTTCAGGTGCTCTAGATGTTTACTGTTATTCATCAAGGTCAAAGACAGGTTCTTACCTGTGGGTAGCAGATGAGCTGTCTGTATAGATTTTTGTCAAATGATTTTATGTGTTCACAGTTTACATTTAAAAATGGCTCCCCAATAACATTAATCTGTAAGATAAAAGAAACAAGTTATATTCTAATTGTTTTAAAATGCATAACTTGAATTTACATGTAAGAATATATGATTACCTCCCCAAGTCGTTGCATGTATAGAGGTTCAGTAATATCTATGCCAACATTTTCTTCTTCTTTAGCCAGAGGATCAATAAAACGCTGAAGAAATTTCTTGATGTAGAGAGAAATATATTAAGCTTAATGCATTTAGAAATAAGCAACTGTTCAAAATACAAAGTCACGACCATGACAGTATTTGAAAACAGTATGTCACTACTAAAAACTAGAAAAATATCCTAAGCCATATAAAAATCTACTCCTAAGTATTATGGCCAATTAGATATACGTTATAAACACTTCCAGCATTTTCAGTTCTAACGATATAAATTTGAACACATAAAGCTCACCTGAAAATTTTCTTTGCATGTTGTCACATTTACATCTGTTCCCCAAATCACAAGTTTCTGGCCTGAAGACTGCTCACTCGCCCCTATATCTTCTGCTGCTGGCTACACAGAAAAGTATGACAGAACCATGTTAATGGGAAATTACCTATTTTATGTCTTCAACATAAAGCATCAAAAAAGTGTACTGTGTACTCACCTCTTCAGACTGCAAATCCACCTGCAGGCCCTTCCGCGCAGACCCTAGGTCAGGCCTTTGCCTCACAGGTGTGCCCCTAACACAACTCCTTGGGGTTCCCTCTACGCGAGAGCTGGGAGTGCCATATGTCAGTGGTGAACTAACGTCAAAGTCAAGAGGAATAGCTATAAAAACAAAATATTAAAGTTTACAACGAAATTCTGGTAGCATAACAAACCTGAAACTATAGTACGTTACCTGTTGATCTAAGTCATGTAAATGCAGTAGCAAACTGAATGTTTATTATAACCTCTGGTGGTGAAGATTCTGAGGACTAGTAAAAGCACCAAGTTTCTTTCTGTTTACTAAGCCCTAACATGTACTACTTCTGTACTCCTAGTGAACATATTAGCTCATGCACAGTTCCATGAACTACCACTTAACTAGAAAATCTGACAAGCTGACTCATCACTTGTATATGAGCTATGGTATAACTCAGATGTTCAGAAACACACTTGAATGTATCTGAGGAGGGCTGGAAAATAATGTGTTCTGCGCTGCAGATGTCTGTAGGTCAACTCCAGGCGAGGTCGGCATCGGCTGCAGCTCTCCAGTAGAGGTAGAATCCTCACCCGTACGTCTCTGAGATGGAGATGACCTGGCATCCTCACTTCGAGCTTGTGACATACAAAACATAAAAGATGGCCATCAATTTTCATGGTTGGTCTCCTGAATTTGTCTTTCTCTTGGGACAGTCTGAATCATTACTGAACAAATATAACCAAACAAAGCGGGCAAATGAGTACGGACGTGTTTAACTATTAAAATTTAGAAACTGCCTGGCAAGAGTGGAAATACGCGTCCAGCGCTTTCTCTCTCACAAGAAAGTTTCTGCACACTAGAACGGGCAAGGCATAGCAAAGGCTCACTGTCTGCATGACATCTTACTCCTCCCCACGTTGGAGACAACGTCCCGAGGCCCTGCACACAGATCAATCAGTCTCTCAGCGGCGGCGGGAAAAGGCCAAAAGAGGAGACGGAAGCTGGACGGAGGGGCGTTGTGTGGCGGGGCGGACTCGAGGGAGAACTTACGTGTCTGCACCGGCATGGCCCTACTGCGCCGGCTACCTCGGCTGCTCGGCGTAGACGCTGGGGACGACATAGTGCTCGGAGTACCTGCGCGACAAAAAGGACAGGCTAGTGCTGCGCCCGCTTTCGGCTTCCCACGCCCCGCCGCACAGACATGCAAGCAGTGCTCCCCGCCGCACCCTCCCCGCCGGCGTGAGGTTGCCGGAGAAAGGCCGCTGCTTCGGACGCGGGAGGTTACCGGAGAAAGGCCGCTGCTTCGGACGCGGGAGGTTACCGGAGAAAGGCCGCTGCTTCGGACGCGGGAGGTTACCGGAGAAAGGCCGCTGCTTCTGACGCACGTGAAATTCTGGGGTGCACTAGGTTGGTCGTACTCCCAGACTGCGCGAGCGGGACCCAAGATTTCGCGCCGGCTGCACTGTCGTCACCACCCTTGGCGGCGCCCCACCAATAGCAGTGACGCTCTTACATGACTCCACCTCCGGGAGGTGCCACTGCGCACCGACAGGGGAGACTGAACGGCCTACTCCCGCGCCTCACAGAAGGCAGACTGTCACTTCCGTTCAGATGGTCTGAACCCTTACTGGGCCGCGGTTTAGCGGGAAGTTCGGCATCCAGCTACATTTGTTCACCGAGGGTGAGCTCTTCACTGTCGCGTTGGCCGAGAAGATACTTTGTCCCTTAAGCATTTTTGTTTCTAAAGACATATAAATGCTTTTTTTTTAACTATCAAAGGACAAACTAGATCCCGACCCAAGACCTTAGATTGTCTCTTCTGACTTTAATAAGTCAACTCCAATTTACCAACTATCCTCCCCGTCTATTTCCGGAGGCCAAACCATTGGATTTCTGTTCCTTTCTAAGCTTCAGTGTATGCATGCTAAGTGTATTGTGTGCAACACAGTCATAAACATGCCAAAATCTTAATTCTCAGCAGGCTCCTCCTACAGGAAGAATCTGCCCTCCGTGTCGAGGATGGTTCCCGCGGTTGCGAGCTCCGCCCCCCGGACCTGCGACATCCGCCTCCGGCGTTTCCGGGCCCCGGGAAGGCTGTGCGCACGCGCAACGCCTGCTGTCATGGCTGATTCCAGCTCTGTCGTGCAGGCCTCCCTTCTGCAGCTGCAGGAGTCTTTGTCCGCCGCGGACCGCTGCAGCGCTGCGATGGCTAGTTATCAGCTGATCCGAGGCCTGGGGCAGGAGTGCCTTCTGAGCACCGGCCCTACGGTGCTGGGTGAGTATGGCCGCCCGGCCGCGCGGAGGAGGGCGCCAGGGCGCGTGCGCGTTTTGGTACTGCTGAGTTGTTAAGAATATGACGTCCCAGTGTTTGCCCCACAGTGGGTATGTTTAACAGTACTTTGAAGTCCCCCCATTTGATTCTGGGTCGTCATAATTGGTGGCTGTGTATAAAAAGTGGTTTTTGTTATACTGCTTTTTTTAACAGCCAAAGTTTTAAAAGCAAAGTTGGTGAAAATTCTCTAAATTCGTCAATCATTGCTATCCAAAGTGGAGAGAAAGAGCAAGAGGAAAGTGCTTTCTTTCACCTTAATCTCGCCTAAACCCACCAGCACCTTTTCCAAACCCTTATATTTGCTCTTTCTACTTTTGAGAAACAGAGCTGAAATATAACTGAAAAGTCATGCTATCCTTTTAATTTTAGCAATACCTGGGTGGGAACTTTTTTCTCTGTAGTCAAAGTGCTTTTCAGCGCTTTTAACGTAGAGAACACTGTTTAAAAACTTCTGTATTCCATTTTAAAAACAAATATGTAGACCTTTGCCGTGCTGTGTCCTCTCAAAGATAGGTGAGATTTTCTAAGAGATTTTTGCTGAATATGATGGAGATATAATGTAAACACATTTGACAGATGTACTTATATATTGTCAAGTATACATTAATGGAAGGAAAATTTAAAAGTTAACAATGTTATGTAAATGTTTTCTAGCCTCAGGGTTTCTGTGTTTGAATTCCTTATCCTTTTAGTAACTTCTTTGTAAAACAGAAGTTTACTCTAAATATTTTATATAAGTCCTTTCACTTGTGAGATTATAGAGTGTATTCGTTTTTTATTGCTGCTATAACAAATACCATAAACTTAGTGGTTTAAAACAACACAGACTTGTTCATCTTAAAAGTTCTGTAGTCAAAGCCAACATATCTCACCAAGCCAGGTGTCAGGCAGGGCCACTATTTCCTGAAGGCTTTGGGGGAAGAATTCATTTCTTTTTTCTTTCAGGTTTTTAGTAGACTGTAGGTCCTTGCAGTTTTAGGATTGAGGTCTCTTTTTTCTTGCTAAGTTTCCTTGTTTCTAGAAGCCACCCACACTTCTTCTATCATGGCCCCCTTCCTCCATCTTCAAAGCCAGCAGTAGTGGGTCAAGTAAAACTCTCATGCTTGGAATCTCTCCTGCTTCCTTGTCTTCCCATATAGCCTCCCTCCACTGGTAAGGAAGGAAGTTACATTGGGCCCACTGGATAATTTTAAGGTCAGCTGATTAACACCCTTAATTCCATTTACAACTTTAATTTTCTTTTGCCATGTAAAGTTAGCAAATTTACAGGTGTCACTTACCCGTGTATCCCTGTGGAACATCATCTAGAATTTCCTTTTTTCCTTGTCTAAATACAGCAGCCTTAGGTTAATGTTTTATCCTATAAAGCTGAACTGAGAAACATACACTCTTTAGGGTGGGTTTGTGGAGTGTTTCCTGGCACTTCTCTTACCTTTTTGTTTGTTTGTTTTTGTTCTTTTGGTATAGCATTACAGACTTCCTTAGTTTTTTCCAGAGATTTCGGTTTGCTTGTTTTTGTTCGGAAATCGCTTAGCATTGATGAGGTAAGTTGAAGATTTTCATTTCACTTTTCTTGTACATTCCTTAATGTCGGAGTGACTCTTATTCTCACCCATATTTACTACAATGTGTATTTCTTTTATTATAGTTTCGTGATTGTAGAGAAGAAGTCCTAAAGTTCTTATCTGTTTTCTTAGAAAAAATTGGCCAAAAGATCACACCTTATTCTCTTGATATTAAGGTAAGGAGGAAAAAACATACCTCATTATATATCGACATCAATTTTAACTTACAGTGTAAGTTAAACTTGGATTTTTATTTTATTTTTGTCTTTCTCATTGCGGAGTTTATTCTGCTTGTTTGTGTTAGAATGAAGTGAGCTGTCTTTATTTTTTAGATTTAATAAGCTAAGGCCCTTGTCAAAAACTATTTTGATAACGTTTACACATAGGATAAATAATGCCTTTTATAAAAAGTCATAATAAATTGGACTTTTGAATTGTAGGGAGATTTCCGAACACTTTAAAAAACAATTTTAAAGAATTTTCCTTCTGGGTAAGATTCATATTTCCTGTAGTTCATGTATTCTCTTTGACAACAGTCTGAAAAGTTTGCCTCTCTTGCGCCTCCCATTCTTTCAACCTACCTTCCCTAGGTTTCCTCATAACAAACTGGAACTAGTAGTGATAAATTAGGTTATTTCTCATACTTATTTGAACTTTCAACAAGTGCTACATTTCAAGGTAAGTTATTTTTATTGGTACTTCTAGTTCTTGGATGCTAAGAGCTGATGAAGAAGTATTTGTTCAGTTTGAGGTAATTTATAGGAAGTTGTTTTAGAACTTTTAAGTAGCTCAAATATATAAAATATTTTAATGATTATTATTGACGTCTAGAAATCTTGATTGGAATCTTAATATTTGATAAAGTTGTCTCAATGATGGGAGTCATTTTGTAGAGTACTTCATAGTTTACAAAGTTTTATAATGTATAGTTTTTTATTTATTTTTTTTGCCAAATCTCTGTTAGATATTCTAAATCTCTCTAGTTTACAAATGAGATTTAGAAGTTAAGAAAGTTACCCCGGTCTTGGAGCCAGGGTGCCTCCTTCCAAAGCTCTTGTTTGTTTCATTATTCTGGGGTGGTTTCCTGTAAAGTCCTAGCCATCCTCTGAATTATTTTAGTTACCTTTTTTATTCTTCATTGTTTCTTTCTTGGTATATGGCAAAAAGTGCTATGGGAAGTATATAAGTAGGAGTAACTTTTACTTTTTTTTTTCCTGCCGAGGCCTCCATTTACTTTGTGTTTTTATAGTTATTGTTGATGTTATTACTAGTGTATGTTGCATCAATGTTTTAAGTAATTTTTAATCTGCATATTTACATATTTTGTTTTTAACAGCTGGATATTTAATTGTGTTATGTCTTATATTGGTATTGCTCCTCTCAAAGATGTAGTTTTAGCTATTGTTAAGCCTTTAGTTATAAGAACTAAGATCTTATTGATGATTTTGGTATGTATTCTTTTAAAACCTAGACTACTTGTACCAGTGTTTACACAAAAGACAAAGCTGCTAAATGTAAAATTCTGGCCCTAGACATTCTTATTAAGGTAATTTTATTTTTCTAAGTACATATATTTCATATTAAACATATAACTTAAAAAACTGAAAATTGGAGTTGTGGAATATAGTTTTTTGGCTAAGAGATATTGGAAGATAGGCTTGAATCACATTGATATGTGGATAAGATGTACATTTTCAAATCTTCATTCAATACATTGGTATTTTGCTCTCAGACTCTTGCAGATAGCAAAGGAAGAATTTGGGGATGTGGTGGGAATGAAGGGGAAAAAGAACTAAGAAATTTACTCTTCCTCCACTACTCTCATTACTGTTACTTTTAAAATTACTAAGAATTGCCAGAATTCACCTCACTGTATCTGAGTTTTTTTCTAAAACCTTACTATGGAAATGGGTCTGTATGTGATATTTAAGTGGTCACTGGGACTCACTCTCACATGTATGTCTTAGCTGCATTTCTCTTTTTGCATCTCTATTAGAACTCTTTTGGGTCTTGTTGGGTCTTAAGTGCCTACGAGAGAATGGTTCTAGTCATGTTACTTATTTCTTGGGAAAGTAAAATTAAATTTACACCCTTTCCTCCTTTGTTCTTGCACTATTCACCTCATCGTCTACCTCCCAAATAGTCTGGCTAGATAAGAGTCCTGAGAGACCAAGCATAAATCCCCTAGAGATACATAATTCTGTAACTTTGTGGTATATAGACTCACTTAGGTGGATGACACCTTTGCATTATTTTTCTCTTTGGACAATGCTAATTTGTATCTTTTAGTTACTTCAGACTTTGAGAAGTTCTAAACTCATGGATGAATTTAGAGTTGGAGAATTATTTAGTAAATTCTATGGAGAACTTGCATTGAAAACAAAAATACCGGATACAGGTGAGATGCATTTAAATGTTTTAAAATATTTTAATAAATTAACATTAAAAAATTATTAGTGTAAAATTTAAGTTTTTCTCTATCAGGATATTTATGTTTTATAGATGATCCTTTTTGCTGAAAACAAGCCAGAATAT